TTTTTTTTTTATTTTAAAAATAACCGCATCAACAGCGAAGGGTTATTAGCGGGGAGGAACAATTAGGTATAATTATATTTTATGTAATATATGAATAGATTTCAAGAAGGTTACTAAAGAGTGAAAGTTCACCATGTCTAGGGTAGAATTGAGATCACTGGGAAGTCTTGCTTCTTTTCTTTCATATTCAAAAACTGGGCACTCCAGGATAATGTGTTCCACACTGTTGATCACACCACAAATATCACACTCCGCAGCATCTTCTTTCTTCATAAAGTGTTGATGTGTTAGTCTTGTGTGTCCGATTCTGAGGCGAGTAAGAATGACTTGATGTCTTCGTTGGGCTGATTGGTAGTTCTGAAAGCGCATGTAGGAATTTATCTCACGTAATTTATTTTTTACTGTTCGACATTTATCTACCCATATACCACTTCATCACTCACATTCTCTTAGTTTTGATAGTAGTACAGTTTTATATTTTCATAGTTATATAGGTGGAAGGGAGTTTTTTCCTCGTACTAGTAGATAAATAAATACATGAGTGAATGAAAAAATAAAGATTCATACTCAATTTTCTTCTATATTTATATTGAAGGTACTACATTAAACGTTATTTGATGTTGAGGAGTATATTGAAAAATGCAACATGAAAAAGTAATTATATATGTAAATTTCGCAGTCTATAACCCATATCGAAAAAACAACTAACCAAAGTTACGAGTTTCCACTTACTTGAACCAAGTTTCATAGGAAGCGTTGTGATCGTCCATCTTCAGCACACATTTGTTACGGAGTTCCCCCTTGTACACCTGCAGCGCAAACAAGGCGAATACCATCAAACAAAAGATCGTGAGGGTCATGACCTCGGCCAATTGCTTGAAGGAGTGAAGGAGAGCGTTTATGATGGTTTTCAGGCCTGGAAAGGAAATAATGCAATAATCAGTAGCGTAGCTGACTGAGTAATGCTGCAATGCATAGCAGATGACGGGTCTTATATCGTACCGATTTCAATAATTGTTCTCAAGATAATAATCCATTATCCGAAGTTATGTTGTTTTGAATTATAATTGAGTATTTATTGTTATTTGCTTAGGAATCTGGGGACAAACAATCTCCATTGAATTAAATGAGCACATGATCCACACACTTGAAAAGTATCACATATATTGCGGACAATTCAGTGAACATCTGAAATATTGAAGAAATTCATTATATGAAAATTTGTGACATTTGCCAATTGCATTTATCAGTATGCCAGCTGCTCAAAACGCATATTTAATATGGAACCATGGGAATGCAGAACTAGACATCTTCCTGAAACTCATCAACTACTTGAGTCCCTTCATCACTTTCACAATGAGGAAGGAAGTCTACAATGAATTGCCATTCTTAGACGTTTTGGTGAAGAGGACCGACACTAAATGGGAAACATCTGTATACCGAAAATTCACTCACACGGGACAGTATCTGAACCAGGAATCGAACGGTGGTTCGATTCCTGGTTCATAATAATTAATCAACTAAGAGAGAAGTCATTAAGTCTCTCGTAGATCCTGCTTTCGGGCTCTGTAATACAAAGGAAGGTCTCGAAAAGGAACTAGGCATCATCAAAAATGACTTTCAACGGAATGGTTACTTCAAAGTGATGGTGGAACCGACTTTGGCTGGAAGACAGCAAAAGCCTCACAAGGAAGGGAAGCCGCCACAACTATAGTACTTGTACTTCCCTACATCAAAGGATATTCGGAAATGATATGACTAGTTGGGTTCAAGTATAACATCAGGACCTGCTTCAGATCTGGGAACACTATCCGTAGCAGCATCACGAAAACTAGGCCACCAAACGCGGACTGCGATTCTGACAATTATATTCACCGGATACCCTGCGGTGAATCATACATCGGTGAAACTAAGAGGCTATTAAAAGTTTGCATTGCTGAGCAAAAAAACACACATAGCGAGGAGAAACCAGCAAATCAGTAATAGCACAACATGTTTGGACTCATCAACATAACATCAAGTGGTCTCAAGCTGAAATCATTCACAAGGAGGAACACTGGTTTAGGAGAAAATTCAAAGAAGCCGCATACATGTTGTCCAACAACGCATTTAGCCAAGCTAGCGTAGAGATACGCAACATATGGAAACCTGTAATCAAGCGGAATACGACCAACTCCCGTCAACCGGTCAGTTCCAGCTAAAACTAATGAAGCGGTGAGAGGAAAGAGGAAATAGGTGAAAGTACTCGAATAACCTATAAATAGGCAGATCTCGGAACAATAAGTCCAGTTATCACCCGAAGACGATTGTAGATACTAACAATCGAAACGTCGTGAAGTAACTTGGCTTGTGATCTCTTAATTTTTATTTTCAGTTCAGTTGTTCTATTTTTACTTGTATTTCATTTCAATTATTTAATTTCAGGTGTTTTTGCTCAATATAATTGTTATTTTCAGCAAATCATTTTATATAATATAAACAGTGGAAGTCCGAACTAATGAAAAACATACTGGAGCATTAGTATTACGTATATGTAAATTTTGGATAGCAGTTAAAAGAAATATTTACTGTATAAGATAAATGATTGGCTGTCTATAGTTTTTTAATGCATGTTTTCCAATGAAATAGTGTTTTTTGAATCATTAGAAATTGCTTTTCGAAAAATATAAGATTTTAACAGATCTTCAACATGGCTTCAAAAAAGCCAGTCAGTTGAGAATGCTACGGCTAGTAAATTCAAGTACATTTACAATGAAATTGATAACGATGAGTATGTGATATTAATATTATTTGACTTGGCTAAAGCGTTTCACTCAGTTAATAATGACATAATGGTTAGTAAATCATGTAACATTGGCATCAAATATTTTTTTTTTGAATGAATAAAATCATTTATGGCAGATAGGGAAATAGTGACTGTGAATAATGCAGCATTTGAAACTCAAGATATTATTCTTGGAATAGCAATGGGGTTAATTTTGGGTGCACTGCTTTCCTCTGCCCATAATAATAAATAACCGCCTTATTCGTAGACACTACTAGCATAATATTTTCTGATGAAACCAAAAAAAAAATATTCAGGATGATTATGATATCTTGGTGTGATAGAAATCAACTGAAACTAAATGAAATGAACCATTTTGACTTCTCGTTGGAAACAGTAAAACTCAACATTATCCAGCTTAAGAAAACTATTTGGTTTATTTATTGATGTAACCACGTTTTGGGAGTACCATATCGATTATGCTTGTGAAAAAATAATCAAGCCATATTTGCAGTACGTCAGATTAGAGAAGTGTTCATTTCAGATTATGTCAAGATATANATATATATACTTTTGATATTCCCCGGACCAAATAATGGAAGCAAATTATAGTTTAGGCCTTGCTTACTAAAAGATTATAAAGTAGCTTAATCGTATGTTTCCTCGAAAAGCACGATACCCGTCTGTTTGATATGACTAGAAAAAGAGAATTGCGAATTGTAAGTTACTTCAAGATATTTTACTTCTGTTTTTCTCTCTACGACCTCCCCATTCATTTGATACGCAAAACTAATTGGTTCTTTTAGTTATTGAGAGCAGCGAACATTTTTTCAAATTGAATTATGATTTATTCTTTTGACTCCATTCCCTAATAGAATCGATATCCTTCTGGAGCCCTATACAATTCCGAACTGTTTTTATTTGTCTGAATAACTTCAAATTGTCATCAAAAAGTAAGCAATCTGAAAATTGACCATGAGAGGGTAAATCGTTTATGAAGAGTATGAATAGAAGTGGTCCTAAATTCGCCCCTTGAGGAACACGCGAATTTGCTCAAAATTTACCAGAAGTATCTCTATCGAATCTGACAATGAATTGTCCTTCTTGTAGATAATTTTTATCAAATCTAAGAAATTGCTTGACAATCCATTTCTGCTTATCTTTTTCAAGAGTACTTCATGATTAACCTGACCAAATGCTTTATAGAAATCTGTGAACACAGTGTCCAACTGTGATTTATTTTCTATAGTGTTGAAAGATTCATTACTGAATAGTAATGAATTTGTGGTAATTGATCTAAGGCTGATGAAGCCATGCTGTTGAGGTACTATATAATGCACGATATTATGAGTTGATAAAAGCATTGAGGAGACTGTAACAAAGTTTTCCCGTTAACAACGGATTGTTCTCAGTACGCCATTGATTACTCTGGTGTGAATTCAAAGCCGTTGCTTATCTCGTTGGCGAGAAGTCAGAAGGATGTTTGCCTTGCTGACTGTTTGGATCAATAAGGAAAACTTTTTATTAAATCACGCCGTGACGAGCTGAGAATTACTAGAATAGGGATAGAGTGAGAAAAGAAAGTAAGCGAGTTACCATTTACTCTTTTGATTTGAAAGTTTTTAAAGACATACACTAATGACGCATTCAGAGGTATAAGAGTGAGTAGGACAAATTACTGTATATAAAGAAATTCCATCGAGTTTTTATAGAAATTTGTTATTCAGGTGCCTGTTTGAAAAAATAAAACACAAGCACTACAGGAAAATCCTTAAGGCGCTCTGAGAACGGTGCCTGTGCAAAAGTAGCGATTCGCATTAGATTTGCATCGCTGGAGTTTTTCATTTGAAAAAAAGTTCTCATTAATTTAATTCCACATAAATACAGTTCTCCAAATATAAGAGTTTTTAAACAGTGAAGTTCAAGGTGTACTGAGTTGAACCTCAAAATGATGAGCAGTCACAGTCCGTCGCGTATTTCTGATATGTACCGCTCTTGGTGGAATCAAATGTGCTAAGTCATTTGAACACTTCCCGTGAAAGTATGTACAGAAGAGGGACAAATTTCCAATTTTTCTTCGATGTTTTAGACCAGGGGTCTCCAAACTTTGAAGCCTTCGGGCCATAATGATTTTTTCAGTTTGTTCCAAGGGCCAATTTCTGCCCTTAACTATATTTCTAGACTAGGATAGTCGCAAAGTGCGTGACCTAAGCAACCTTACGCTTTTTTTTGCATTTCAATTATTATTGTGTATTGTGACACTTAACGACATCTAGGGGCGAGTAGTGGTACTATGTACTATCTTTTTCAGCTACCCGCTAGGTGGCATTAAGCGTAATTAAATATTTGGAATTACCGCGTTGGTTCGAGAAAGTTCTGGTTCTAGCTAGTGTATTCC